ACTCTCTGCCCTAACCTGTCTGTGTCTCTGGACCTTTGCGTATCTGAGAGAGGGAAGAAAGGTTTACTATTAGCATATCATAGAACTTTGAACTGATATGCCTATAGATATTTCTATACTATAAAACTGGGGAAAACAGTAATTCATAAATTGGATTATACAGATTTGTGTTCAAAATATAAACTTTATATGGATTAAATTTACTTCATATAAATAAAGCAAATCATAATTACTCAATTCAACCGACTTAGATGATACAGTTCAGTTTTGGTATTTATTCTGTTAGCCCATTTATTCTATTTCCACATAAGCCTGCCCCACAGAATATCACATTAATCTGGCACGACAGGGAATGCTGTGCCCCACAGGACCCACATTTGAGCCAGCTGTTCCTCTGCCTGCAGCCTCTTTTCCTAGCTCCTTACACACCCCACTCCCCACCTCATTCTGCTCTCTACTCAGAGTAGTCCCTACCGTGATCACCCTACCCCAAACGCTCTGCGTTAGTTCCCACGAGATCTCGCCACTGTACTTCAGCCTGGGCAACAGAGTCTCTGTCTCAACAACAACAACAACAAAAAGATTAAAATTTCAGCTGCTCAGTCACATTAGCCTCAAGTGCTCAGCAGCTACATGTGGCTGAACTGAACAATGCCAATACAGAGCATTTCCATCACTGCAGAGAGCTCTGCTGGACTGAGCTCCTCCAGAAAAAGCAGCCTCAGGCCCTGAATGGACAGGAGAGAGGCAAGGGAAGTTTTTATAATATTTACGGTGTGTGAGATCATGTCAGTGCATTCTAGCCTGGGCAACAGAGTGAGACCATGTCTCAAAAAAAAAAAAAAAAAAAAAAAAAAAAAAAAAGAAGAAAAAAGGAGATTTCTGTGTCATAATGGGCTTGAAAATATACTGTTCCTAATGCTCTTATGCATTTAGCTCAGAAGCTAAAAACTCCTCTAAAGGAATGTTACATGGCGAGACCAAAGGAAGTACTACCTTGTATCCATTTCATGAATAAAATACAGGCCTTTCCAAACTTTTAAATATGGTTGCCAATTGGTCTGGAATTTAATAGCCTGCTCCTGGATTATCAGCTCCCCTCTGATTCAGCTTCCCTTTAAAGCTTTGAGCCTAGAAAGTAGGGACTTGAGTGAGATGCACTTGGCTTGCCAAAGTCTCTGTTTCCTCCCTCCGAGATCTTGTTCTAGGAAAAGTGGGTGGTTACGGTGGCACTAGCAAATTCTGCCCATTCTTTACCAGCTTTTCCAAATTCCCTCAGTGCAGGAGACAATAAAGTTTCCCCAGTCCAGGGTATGGTGGCGTAGAGCTGTCTGACTTTCCTGAGTGAGCAGCACAGAGCTTGGCCCCAATCACGTGCTCAGTGGGCCTCTACTGGCTTGAATGGAAGATCGTCTTATTCTGAACAGCTTCTTTGTAAAGAAGAGAACAAGAATTACATGTGGTTTTCTGTGTCTTT